GGTTCCTGGTGGATGATGAGTTCCTGGTTCAGATATCACTGTGAATGTCGCTGTTATCAACGTCATAGTTAAACAGACTAAAGGGTTAGCTGCAATTTTGTTCTCTTCAGCATCAAATCACTTCTTGATCGAAAGCATATTTCAACACGAGTCACTCTCGAACAACTGAGATGTATATTCTGTTGCGCATTGACTTCGGCCACCGCGTTACAAACTAGAAAAAAACATTGCTTTTGTAAATGAATCACTTCTCTCCGTTCGCGCCTTCCATTTAGCTCATGCTATGGCCGAAGTGTACTGATTGCAGCGCCAAGAGAAACGGACAAGATAAACAAGGAAGGTTACCCGATCAGTCAGCGCACCACGCCAATGCTTTCGGCGCACTGACACTGCTCGGTGGGCACAATCTTTTAATGTACCATTTAGTGACTGAACAGCGAATAATGGCATGTGCTTGATTATCACTTACAGCTTTGTTGTAGCACCGAGTTGTGCTTAATAGCAGGTGAAGTTACAAAAAAATACGTTTGCGTGCTGGATTTTCACGATGCCTGTCACTGTCATTTATTAACTCGCGCCCAGGTGTGTGCCCAAAAACGACCCCCCAAATGTTTTTTCAGAGTTATTTCCAAATGGGCGCGGCGCAGCCCGTGCCAATCACTGCATAGCTGTGGAAATTGAATAGCAGATCAGTTGACGTAAAAAATGACGTACCATCGAATGTAGCCATCCCTGACCTATGGCAGGCCAAAGCCAGACCATGGCTGTCAGCGAAGGTGTAATTTCTATGGCATGGTCTAGGGTCAGGTATGACGGTCAGAAGGAGGTTAAAACTAACCTGCTTTTTTTGCTCGAGAGCCTGGTTTTATCAGGGTAGTGCCTGAAGTTCATTTCGAGTTTATGAAAGGACAGTGACCGAGACAGACACGTCCCACGCACCTTTTAAGCCCAGCGAAGATCATTGGTCTAAAATGACTGCGGTCAACAATCGCGTTTTAGGAACGTACCCGCCTAGCGTAATTCATGCCGCTTATTAACTGACAAAATGGAAGCAAACCTCGTTGGTATTTGGTCACCTTGATCTTATAAAGTGCCAGCAAGGGGACTAACCTCATTTAACTTTACTTAGAACAGGTGCTTCACGGTGGCTGCATAAAGAGTTATGGTGGCACTTGCAACACCAATCTGGAGTTTAAAACCTTGCTTGACCTTATGCAACCCCAAGTTCATCGCCTTGGAACTTAAAAGTTTGACACAGGTGAGTTCATGTATCAATCATCTACCCTTTAATTCAAACGTCTATCTTAGTTTTTGAGATCATCAGTAGAGTAAACTAACCCCCACCGCACCCCACCCGTGCGAGGGAGTATTCGGCCTGCTACCCAGGCGCGTGGAGATGCATACATTTAAGAAAAACTTGCAAAACCAGTCCCCGCGGCTATGGCTGGACAACGGCAATACACAGCTTGGGCGGGTCCCTTAAGCCTGAACAACGACAAAAAAGGAGATTTCCTCATTTCGTCCCCCAGGTGGAACATTCTGGTGTCATGTTTAAAGTTTGTTACTGCCGGAAGGAAAATCTCTTGTCAGGTCGTTGTTTATGCATATAGTGCAAGTTTTCTCCGCAATCACCTGAATTCAAGAAATTGATTACAAGTCCCCGTCACCATTTTTTGAGCAAGTTCTTATCGAAACGAGAACAGCAAAAGCGCCTTTTCTTCAATCATCCGAACGTGAAGCATGGGCCCTAAGTGTGAAGCTAACGCTGAGTTACCCAGAGCTCCATCCACAGCCGGAGCCGGCGGAGGGCTTGGTCAGCTAACGCCTGCGTTACCAGAGCTCCATCACAGCCCGAGCCGGCGAGGGCTTGACCAGCTACGCTGCGCTACCATAGCTCCATCCACAGGCGGAGCCGGCAAGGGATTGGTCAGCTAACGCTGCGTTAACCAGAGCTCCATCCACAGGCGGAGCCGCGAGAGCTTGGTCAGCTAACGCTGCGGTACCAGAGCTCCATCCACAGCCGGAGCCGGCGAGGGCTGGTCAGTTGTTCCAGCTTTCGGCAAACAGATGGGACGCCTTTGCCATGACGCCTGTCTTTGTGTCATAAAAGACTCTATCCAGATGAAATCGAGCGTTTTGCTTTCAGTTCATAGAGAAAATCTTTATTTTCTGTCCAACTTCGACGGAACCATGAAACCAGAAGAAAAAGGCTATTTTGTGGTGAACTTTAAACGTAATGCGATCACCCAAAACTAACTTGCATGATTACCACGCGAACAGACGTGAAAGGGGGTTCGAAACTGGCGGTATGTCTGCGAGTTCATGATGACTTTTACAGTTTCCAAATGTGATGCTTCTCTATTCCTGTAACGCATAAAAATACCTGCCTCACATCCCAAGGAGCTGTTTGGTGCAATGTGACGGCGATAGTTTGTACTCACCCAAGGATGTCATCCGTGTGGAGACTCATGGGCGTGTACGCATGTCATGTTTGTGACGTACATCGTGCACGCATGTCATGTTTACGACGCATACCGTGTACGTTTATCGTGTTTCTGACGGAAGTCGTACACGTATGTCATGTTTCTGACGCATACCGTAAACGTATGTCATGTTTGTGACGCATGCCTTGTAGGTATGTGAAGGCTCGATCTTCTAAAATTAGGTCTCCCGACTCACACCCATGTCTGTTAGTGCGATGATATGCTAAGCTTACATCTCGCGATTTTAGCCCGATTGCTCTTAGGTTCGCACGGAAATCACCAAACCACATGCCAGCCTTGAATGGTTTTCATCAACATCGTAATAGCAGCAGCATGGTGACGTTGATAAGTCATGCGAGGTGTTGCCGAGTGCGGTCGTTTGTTTCCCTCAAGCATTAGGCCAACGTTCCTCTGGCCTTGAAAGGAGCATTAATCTAAAAGACGTGTGGTACAGGTGTGGGGAGGGCACGGGCATAACTTGACTCATGTTTACCATGCCACACCATAGGGACAGCGCCAAACGTTGAGACTGTACGAGGAGCTGTCTTGACCGTGACCTCACCAGCGGCCTTGACCGTGACCTCGCCAGCGGCCTTGACTGTGACCTCACCAGCGGCCTTGACCGTGGCGCCACCAGCGGCCTTGACCGTGATCCCACCAGCGGCCTTGCTGTAATCTGCTGGCACCGCCGTGCCATAGTGCTTGGCATGTCAAAACTAGGTACTGAAAAATAAACTTTCGATTTGATTGCACGATCAAAGCTGTGTACGTGGGCTTGCGTTGCGACACTGCGTGAGTAGCTTGTGATCGGATACGACAGAGAGAGGAGGAGAGAGAGAGGAGAGAGAGAGAGAAGAGAGATGAGAGAGAGAGAGAGAGGAGGAGGGGAGGAGAGGAGAGGGAGAGAGAGAGAGAGAGAGAGCGCGCGGGAGGAGAGAGAGGAGAGAAGAGAGTGGGGACGAGGAGAGAGAGATGAGAGGAGAGGAGAGAGAGGAGAGATGAGAGAGAGAGGAGGAGGAGAGGGAGAGAGAGAGAGAGAGAGAGAGAGAGAGAGCGAGAGGAGAGGGGAGAAGAGAGGAGAGAGAGAGACGAGAGGGGAGAGAGAGAGAGAAGAGAGAGAGAGAGAGAGAGAGGGAAGAGAGAGAGAGAGGAGAGAGAAGAGAGATAGGGAGAAGCGGAGAGAGAGCGAGAGAGAGGAGAGAGAGAGAGAGAGGAGAGAGGGAGAGAGAGAGAGGGAGAGAGAGAGAGAGAGAGAGAGA